TTTCATTCCACTTCACGATTGTGTCCCACTTGTTGTTGATTCATGACAAAAAAATAAAATGTTATATCTTTATGTTTGAATACTTTCGCAAGGCACTGTATATATTTTACATTCCTTCCTCGCTTCCATACTACTCCATCATCCGCAAACAGTGACACTCCAACAGACCCTTCAACATTACAAAAAATCTCATTTATCATTATGGAGAAGAACACTGGACTCACAATACTCCCTTGTGGCGTCCCATTGTCTACCTCATAATTTGCGCTTATCTCAGAACCTACTCGTACCAAAATCTTTCTCCCTGTTAGAAACTGTCTGACCCATCGAAGCATTTCCCCTCTTATTCCCATCTGACGCAACCTTATTATAAGCCCTTCCCGCCACATCATATCGTAGGCTTTTTCCACATCAAAAAACACTGCCACCACACTCTCCTTGTTAGCCTGGGCCTTTCTTATGTCATGTTCCAATAAAACTGCTGGATCTATTGTGCTCCTGCCCTTTCTAAACCCATACTGATGGTCTTTAAGCAACCTATTTTTTCCCACAAAGTATATTAATCTCTCATTGACCATTTTCTCCATTAATTTACAAACATGTGAGGTCAAGGCTATAGGCCTATAACTCTCGACCGCACTGGGGTCCTTACCTGGCTTACAAATTGGCACCACTACCGCTTCTTTCCACTGCTCTGGCAACACACTCTCTGCCCAGACTTTATTATACAATTTTAACAGCTTTTCCTTACTACGATTACTAAGATTCTTTAACATACAGTAGCTAATATCGTCCCCCCCTGGGGACGTCTTCCCACATTTATTTAACGCACCATTTAGTTCAAACATTGAAAACTCCACATTGATCACATCATTATAACTCTGTGCATGCTCTAAGCCACCTGTGTGTTTTAACACTGTCCGCTCTCTTTCTCTCCTTTCCTCTATGCTTAAATTTTCTGAGCTATGGACCTTTGCAAAATATTTAGCCAATTCCTCAGCTTTACTCTTATCCTCCATCACAAGACGCTCCCCACTTTTCATCACAGGGTAGCTAAACTCCCTACCCCTACTGCCATCTTTTTAATTGTTCCCCAAACCTGGTTCATGGAAGTCTGTCTGTCCAGCGTGTCACAGTAACCCCTCCAATAGTTCTTCTTAGCTGCCCTGATCACTCTCCTGCCAACTGCCAACTTCCTCTTATAGTCCAGATAATTCTCCCAGTTTACATTATTTGCCAAAGCCTTGAAGGCTTTATTTCTCTCACGTATGGCTACAGTGCACTCTTCTGACCACCAGGGGACGATCTTCCTTTTCCTTCTTCCCTCCTTCTTTCTTACTGTCTGTTTTGCTGCATGAACTATTGCATTACACAAGCTACTATTAAACTCATCCACAGTAATATGACCATTAACATTTATCTTCTCAGATTCTTCTTCACAAATGGTTTTGAACTTACCCCAGTCCACCTTGTCAGAACACCATTTACCTACCCCTCCAACAGCAGCGTCTTCAAAACTAAACGCTATCTGAATGACTAGTGTAAAATGGTCACTTCCTACCGTAGTCTCCTTATCCACCTTCCATGTGCAGTTCCCAGCAATACTCTCAGACACCAGTGTTAAGTCTAACGAGGACTCCTTCCCAGTCCTCGAATCAAATCTAGTTCCACTCCCATCATTCAGACATACAAGGCTCTTTATATCCAATAATTCTTCAACCACCAGTCCATTCGCATCATTAACCCCACCCCACAATGTACTATGTGCGTTAAAATCACCACAACACACCACCTTCCCTTCCATGTGCATCGTAATCTCCTGCAGACCCTCCAGTGATAACCTTTTGCATGGATTATAGAAATTTACAACTATAATCTTACCTCCTCTCCCCTATACTTCTATAACTATACACTCAAGTGTTTCTCCCTTACTTACAACCCTATACTGAATCCCGCTTCTAACAAATATTGCACACCCACCACCATTTCCTCCATCCCGATCCCTTCTTACACATTCATACCCCCTAATAACAAAATCCAGTGAATCCTTAAGCCACGTCTCATGCACACAGATAATATCCGGTTTTACTTTACTATATTGCACATAGGCCTTAAACTCCTGACCATTTGCAATTAAACTCCGAGCGTTCCACTGTATTACTTCCACTGTATTGCTTCTCAGCAATGTCTCCTCCTCCTCCCTTACTACCCACTTCCAGTCTCTTGTACACCTGCTCCCATGGTATTCCCTTCACCCCCAAAAACTTTTCGGCACCCTTTGCGACAATCTTTACTTTTTCTGCTCTATGTTTAGTTTGGACGCAGTTAACCACATAGGCCAAAAATACAAGCTAGTCTCCCATATCCGGGCCTACATTCACCTCTCTTCTCAGCCCTACCTCTGCGGAACCTCCATTCCCCCGTCTTTGAACTGGTACCTTCTTCGCTGCCTCAGCATACGTGGTGTTATCTGCAACTTTGACTCTCTCAATTTCTACAGCCCTTTTCCTGACTTCACATCCCCCATATGAAGTGGTGTGTTGTCCCCCACAGTTACAGCACTTTATTTTGTCTTTTTCTTTACATTCTTCAATCCTATGTTCCCCTCCACACCTAGAACAGCGTTGTTTCCCTCTACACACCGCTGCTATGTGCCCATAGTGTTGGCACTTATAGCACCGGAGCGGGGGAGGAACAAACTCTCTTACCGGGAAACTCAAACACCCCACTCTGATTTTTTCAGGAAGCATCTCATCACAAAACTCCACTAAAACAGACAGACTTTGGACCCTTTGGCCCTCACTCCTTCGCATCAGCCTTGTAACTGCTTTCACCCCTGCTCCAAAGCAATTTTTTTGTTTCTCAAGATCCTCGTCGAGAGGGACACCGGTTATCACCCCCAGCGCCCCCCTCCTTTCCCCGACTATCTTGCGCTCCCGAACCACCGTCTTACCTATACTTCCTAACTGCATCACCTCATCCTTTTGCGCTTCAGACTTGCACACAATTAATAAACACCCATCTCTCAAAATCTTTGCTAACTCCACTTCTCCCAACTTCTTTTTTTATCTCCCTGGACAGCGCCAAAATCCCGACCTTTAAAGCCTCACTTTCACTCCCGAACTTAAGTATGACCTTAGGTTTGTTTGGTTCTCGAACTACCCTCTTACGCATCACTGACCTTCCTTCATCTGGACTAGAATCATCTAAACCACGCTTACTTCTCTGACTGCTCCTACCCCCCCTATCCCCATCCCTACGTAATGATGGAAAGTCTTCAAAGTTCATCAAATCATCCTCCTCCTCTGCCTGAGAATCCATCCCGGCCCAGTCACAAACCGGATTATGCCAAACTGCCAGTATCAATGTTCACTTTTATTATTTATCTTAGATTCAAACTTGCGTCCGCTCTCTCGTCCTCTTCCGACCCACAGACTGAGTCTACAACCGTCCTCCTGAAAATCTCGCGAGAACTCCTCAAAAAAACCGAAAAAAAAAAAAAAACAGAACCCTGAGACTATCAAAGAGCAGGTGCATTTATACGGAGACTTGATTACACACAGGTGCATTCTATTTATCATCATCAGTCATTTAGGACAACATTGGATCATTCAAAGATCCTCACTGAACTTCTGGACTGAGTTTGCTGCACTGAAAGTAAAGGGGCCGAATAATATTGCACGCCCCACTTTTCAGTTTTTTATTTGTTAAAAAAGTTTAAATTATCCAATAAATTTCGTTCCACTTCACGATTGTGTCCCACTTGTTGTTGATTCATGACAAAAAAAATATTTTTTATATATTTATGTTTGAAGCCTGAAATGTGGCGAAATGTTGAAAGGTTCAAGGGGGCCGAATACTTTCGCAAGGCACTGTATATATAATATTATCATAATAATAATAAAACTTGGATCTGTACAGTCTGGAGAAATGATCCATTCAAATTAAACAGTATAGATACTAACAGTAGAATAATGTCATGGATTTTTTATTTTTTTTGTGTAAGGGCAGTGGGCCACACACAGTTTAGATCAGACAGTTTGGATCAGTTTAGATCAGTCTGGATCAGACAGTTTGGATCAGTTTAGATCAGTCTGGATCAGACAGTTTGGATCAGTTTAGATCAGTTTAGATCAGACAGTTTGGATCAGTTTAGATCAGTCTGGATCAGACAGTCCGGATCAGTCTGGGTCAGACAGTTTGGATCACTCTGGGTCAGACAGTTTGGATCACTCTGGATCAGTCTGGATCAGTTTAGATCAGTCTGGATCAGACAGTCCGGATCAGTCTGGGTCAGACAGTTTGGATCACTCTGGATCAGTCTGGATCAGTTTAGATTAGTCTGGATCAGACAGTTTGGATCAGTCTGGATCAGTCTGGATCAGAGACCAGAGTCTGACAGAGAAAGTGTTTTTCCAGTAGCTGTGTTCCTGTCAGTGACAGTAACTAATGTAAAATACAGGTTTATTAAACATATTTAAAGACATGTGTAAACTGTTCTCTTCCACAGTGGCACCAACAGCAGGAAACCTCTGTGTCCTTCACATTTATCACATGTAGCTTACGACAGAGAGGCTCAGTTTGAATGAGTCTCCTGCGCCCCTGCTGGTTCTGTGACGCACACACAGGGCAGATACTTGTTTCCTCTGAAACAGAAGGGAGGGGCTGGTGACGTCACATCTGAAGTGAAACTATTTGGACTGAGACGTGTCTGAGACAGGTGAGTCTGACTTTACTTTAATGTTTATTATTAGGATTTAATAGTTTGTGATTGTGATCCACTTGTGTAGAAAACAGTTTCTCTTCATAGTGACTTTAACATAGTGTTGTCTTTATCAAAGTGTTGGACTGAAGCAGGAAATGAAGTCTGGCCTGAAGTTTAGGCCTGTGCTAATGTCTCTATAGTAGTTTATGTAAATGATTACAGCCTTTTTAAAACAGTTCACATGTAAACAGTGAAATATATCTGTGGTTTCTCCTCCAGCCGAGTGAATGTGACCATGGCTTCAGAGAGAAAACGTATGAAAAGAACCATCAGTGAAGAAGCAGCAGGGGGCAGCACTGAGCCAGGTGTCTGCGTCAGAACAAAGTGAGTATCATGTTTCAGTCCAGTCAGTTCTACAGCACAAACACTACAGAAACAGCTGCAAACCTGTCCCCTTTAGGAGCAGAGGAGGAGTTTCAAGTAAAACAGGACTGTTTGTGTTGTCTTCTTCTGTGGCTCAGGGACAGAATTCTATTCAACTAGAATTCTATAAACAAAGTTTGTTTTACTGAGAAGCTGTAACTAAAGTATAAGTAAATAGTAAAGTTCTGAAATGCAGTAGAATGCAGTTCATTATTTGGCGTTGGCCTCTTTACTCTGAGTTTGCAGGTCTGAACATTTATATATTTCTAAATGACTAAAACCAAGCAGCAGAAACGTGTTCCTCTCGTCGTCAGCGAGAGCCGTGTGAACAAATGCACTGATGTCAGTGGTTTAGTCTGGACTATTATGAACTGCTTTGAAAAGAGGATTCTGAATGTGCTTTTCAGACACAGGGACTGCAGTGGTTAGAGCTCAGGACTCGCTTCCATCTGCTTTAAGTCCTTCTGTTGATCTGAATCTAAAATGACACATGATTTAATATTCTTTTTAAATCATGATTTCACTTGATTATGGATTGTTTGATCGCAGTCATTTAACAAAGTCCAAATGTTTGTATTCTGTTGATGGTTGAACCATGGACCCAGAGTAACATGGTCTTTCTCTCCACACAGATCCTCAGTGTCCAGTGCTGTGTCCCTGAAGAGTGACCGGTCTATGGAGCATCCACCAGACTTCAGTCTTGAAGCTGCTTCTTCAAAACCACAGTGAGAACAAAGGAAACACTAACACTGATCTGACTTTAGATTACATTTAGTTCTGTTCAATCCCACCTGGTGTATTTTGGTTGTTTCCAACTCAAAAGCTCTATTAAAGGAGCAGACTTTGTCCTAAATGCTTGTGTTACGGAGGATGGACTGTATGGTGCTAATTCTTATGGTTCAAACATGAAACACGATGGGCGTCGATCAGGACGTCGGAGAGGAAGGTAGGGAGAGACTGGATTGAAGCTCCAATATTTATTACAGCTGCACAGAACGATAGTCTGCAAACACAGACTAATACTATGAAGAACCAAACATATTATTCAATAACTTCTTCTAAAAGGATGTGTTCTTATATACACTCTCATATTCAGTACATGTCAAATATTATTAATAAACACAACATACATAAACAGCATTAAAGGCTGTATAAAGAAGTTCCCTGAAGAGGGCGCCATTTCTCAGACGGGCCACTGAGTAATGTCGCCCTCTAGCGGCCGCGGAGGTCATTACAATATTCACACAAAAACGTGACAAATTGTTAATGTTGAACATGAAAATGAGCTGAATATGCTCCAAGATAGTGACACACTACACTGAAGGTACACACATTATAACTTATCACAGAACCACACTCCACACACAAGGACATGATTTATTGTTGATCCAATCCCTTTACCTCAACAACATCTCAGAGATTTCAAAGCCTGAGGCCTAAATTCACTGAACAAGTTATTGTACAGTTTGGTGCAATATTCTGAAAATGTGCAGTTTACAACCAGAACAATCTTCTGAAAAATGTCAAATGGAGTGACAGTGTCTAGATAATGTGACGTAAGAGGACAATAGTATTTATCACCCACTGTTCTGTCATTTTGCTCTCCATGACCACATGCTAATTGGTAAATCAGGCCGTTGCTAAGCTACTTAGGTACTGGCCCCTTCCCATGAGCCTCCTGTGCAGTTTTTATATTTGTTATTGAAGCTTAGGAGCTGCTGTGACTGATCCAGGATCTGTTTCTATAAAGAGGATGGATGCTGCGACAGGACAGTGATTCAAACATCCATCCATCCATCCATTTTCTTCCCCTTGATCCATTTCTGGGTCAGGGGGGTGGCAGTCAGAGCTGCACCCAGTACACAGAGCACCAGCCCCTCACTTATCCTCCTGCAGGTGGTGAGTCCACAGGAGCTGAGATCTTTCAGTGGGAGCTTCAGGCAAAGTGGGGTTAAGTGTCTTGCCCAAGGACACAACGACAGCAGTCATGAAGTAGGTCTTATGGTGGGCTTGAACCCACAACCTTCAGGCCAATAGGCCAATGCTCTACCAACTGAGCTACTGTCGCCCCGATTCAAACATAATAATAATAATAATAAATAAAGATTATCCAAAAGGAGAGATGCATTGTCCCAGGTTAGCAGCAGTGCTAATTTACACCTGTGGTTCCTGAGCAGGTTGTTGTAAAACAGTAAAATAAAAGGAGATGGAAACATGACCAACATTATCAGACAGAAAATACTATTTCATTTACCACAAGTTATAATAAAACCACACACACACACACACACACACACACACATACACGTTTTTGTTACCTGGTGGGTCCCTTTGACAGGGCCGTTCAGAATGGGACCCATAGACATAATCTTTTTTTACTGGGACTACTTTAAGTAATACAAAACAGTCAATAGAAACCAAACAACTATTTTAAAGGAATTTTATTTTTGATTTCTTTTTCGAATTGCAGTGATTTTATTTTTGACAAAGAATGTAATGCCACTCCATGTCCGATGTCTAAGGTCATCTGGTGAGGCATTAAAGAAGCTATACCCGATATTTTTTCTAAGTAGTTCATAAAAATGCTTTTTACTACATACAAGTTGTATCATAATAAATCATTTAATTGAAAACTTGAGGTCATTGATTCAGCTGTGTAAGAATTACAAGCAGTGAAAAGTGCTGAGTAGAGTCTGAGCGGGACGCTCTTTCTCCTCCGCTCACAGAACGAGCAGCGAACAGCCTGCGTCCTCTAGTCTCTACAGCCTGTGTCCTCTAGTCTCTACAGCCTGTGTCCTCTAGTCTCTACAGCCTGTGTCCTCTAGTCTGTACAGCCTGTGTCCTCTAGTCTCTACAGCCTGTGTCCTCTAGTCTCTACAGCCTGTGTCCTCTAGTCTCTACAGCCTGTGTCCTCTAGCCTCTACAGCCTGTGTCCTCTAGTCTCTACAGCCTGTGTCCTCTAGTCTCTACAGCCTGTGTCCTCTAGTCTCTACAGCCTGTGTCCTCTAGTCTCTACAGCCTGTGTCCTCTAGTCTCTACAGCCTGTGTCCTCTAGCCTCTACAGCCTGCGTCCTCTAGTCTCTACAGCCTGTGTCCTCTAGTCTCTACAGCCTGTGTCCTCTAGTCTCTACAGCCTGTGTCCTCTAGTCTCTACAGCCTGTGTCCTCTATTCTCTACAGCCTGTGTCCTCTAGTCTCTACAGCCTGTGTCCTCTAGCCTCTACAGCCTGTGTCCTCTAGTCTCTACAGCCTGCGTCCTCTAGCCTCTACAGTCTGTGTCCTCTAGTCTCTACAGCCTGTGTCCTCTAGCCTCTACAGCCTGTGTCCTCTAGTCTCTACAGCCTGTGTCCTCTAGTCTCTACAGCCTGCGTCCTCTAGTCTCTACAGCCTGTGTCCTCTAGTCTCTACAGCCTGTGTCCTCTAGTCTCTACAGCCTGTGTCCTCTAGTCTCTACAGTCTGTGTCCTCTAGTCTCTACAGCCTGTGTCCTCTAGTCTCTACAGCCTGTGTCCTCTAGTCTCTACAGCCTGCGTCCTCTAGTCTCTACAGCCTGTGTCCTCTAGTCTCTACAGTCTGTGTCCTCTAGTCTCTACAGCCTGTGTCCTCTAGTCTCTACAGCCTGTGTCCTCTAGTCTCTACAGCCTGTGTCCTCTAGTCTCTACAGCCTGTGTCCTCTAGTCTCTACAGCCTGTGTCCTCTAGTCTCTACAGCCTGTGTCCTCTAGTCTCTACAGCCTGTGTCCTCTAGTCTCTACAGCCTGTGTCCTCTAGCCTCTACAGCCTGTGTCCTCTAGTCTCTACAGCCTGTGTCCTCTAGTCTCTACAGCCTGTGTCCTCTAGTCTCTACAGTCTGTGTCCTCTAGTCTCTACAGCGCTGCTCAACACCAGGGCTTCCACTTCAAAATTCGAATATAATTCTAAAATAAAAAATGATGAACAAAATAATTGAATAAAAAAATGTGAACAAATATTAGACAACCCTTGTAATTCGAAATGTATTTAATGACAGCAAATAAAATAGTTAGCTCCCAAAGGTTTCACCGGGACGTGCTAAGCAGGTAACAGCTAAGCTAGCTAGTTGTTTCATGGTTACTTCCGGGTTTTTCGCAATCGCCTTTTGTCACATTGAAACAGTATTTTTGTCATGAAAACGTTAACAGCAAATTCTGAAATCATCCGTGCATGTGTGTTAAGGATGTATATGTATACTGTATTTTCCGATTAACGTTTAATGGTGTTGATTGATAGATATGTAGTTGTTTATTGAGCGTGGCTAGCTCCGTTGGCTTCTCTACACAGACGAGTGTGCAGTGACAGGCGCTGATAGCTTGTTGTACTTGCAGAGTAATGGCAGTATTTTACACACCTGAATTACAAACAGAGGTTGCATTGGGGCTTCGGTCATTATTGGTTTGAGAGTTCTGTTATCAAGAAAAAATGATCGGAAGAATTGCTGCTGCTGTTTTGAGGAGCTCTATAACACATTATAATTAAATATTAGAATATATTCTAAGGTTTTAAATTAATACATTCGGACGCGAAACTAGCGGTATTCTTTTACTTATGTATTGTGTTAGCAGTGCGTTGCTTTAGTGCCATTTCATCAGTGATTGTTGCACAGCTTACAAGAAGTTGTGCTAATGCTAATGTTAGCATATGTATCAGATCGCAAATAAAACTAGGTGGCTCTGTGTTATGAGAGCGTAGGGGAAATGAGAAGCCATTGAGCGAGTTGGGGGGCGGTGCTAAACATTCAAACATTGCAGAAACGGGTATAGCGCCTTTAATGCAGGCCAGGCCAGGCCAGGCCAGGCAGTGAGACTTCCCAGGGACCTTTCCAGTCTGTATGAAAGGTGTCATGGTCTTCTCCACAGCCTTCACCTCAGATGCAGACCATGGCTTTCTTACACGTTCTAGGGAGATAAATAAAAATATATTAGCAATATTAGGGCTGGGCGATAAAACGATAACGATATATATCGCGATAGACATGTGTTCGATATCAATAGAGAATGGGGTCGATAGAATGTTCGATAGTTTAACTTAACTCCGTCAGGAAAAACAGGAAGAAAACACCGGAATTAAAGCCGACTCATAAGCGCATGGCATTGTGGGGGATGTAGGCAGAGGCTTCTCGACCAATAACAGCCGAGCAGGAACCGCAAAACTTTGTGGGAAATGCAAAAACACCAACAACCGCAGCATGCGTGGCGTCCATGGATCTATAGCTCGTGTTTCAATGCCGTGTCAATGGTTATGCACGTACGTGCGCGGAATAACATGTGCGGCGGCAGAGGCAGTGGACAGACCCGATGTATTCGGCGAAAGCAAGAGATTAACTTTTTCCTCGGGAAGCATGTGCGGCACAGAGAGCCACACGGAGCGGTCACGGGGACACAAGACCCTCAAACAGCTAAACCAGGAGCTAAACCAGGAATAAAAAAACAGGATTAAACCAGGGGGGGCGACAGTAGCTCAGTTGGTAGAGCATTGGCGGCACGGTGGCTGAGTGGTTAGCACTCTCGCCTCTCAGCAAGAAGGTCCTGGGTTCGAATCCCAGTCGGACCAGGGCCTTTCTGAGTGGAGTTTGCATGTTCTCCCCGTGTCTGCGTAGGTTTCCTCCGGGTACTCCGGTTTCCCCTACCACTAAAAATGTGTCCAATAGTTCTGGCATGCGCCTCCTGTACTGGCCCCGCTCCCATCTCTGTGTGGAGTGAGAGACAAATGC